CTCGAAAGTGCAAATGCGATGCTTTCTCAAAAAATGGAAAGCTTTGCAGTTTCAACATTGATAGAAGCAGTTTCAACGTTCATTTGTGTTATTCCTATCCGAAATGGAACTTCGACGTTACATCCCATCCGTTACATCTTACATCCCTTCCTAAATAAGGTAGGTAAGGCTCACTAGATCGCTCAATCACATTCGGTCGCAAACAGGATGACATACGCGAGATAGGCGAGATATATGCATGGTCATGATCGATGTTTCTCAAGAATATTCTTGCCTCTCACATTCGAACACTTTCCCATCTTATATGTTATGCTACGATTCTAGTATAAGAGGAAGTGGCAAAGCTGTTCTTCACACGCTAGTCCTGTGCAATGTCTTCTCGTGGAAGAATATGCGGTGCTACCTATATCTAGCTTTGTTTGAACAGATTGTATATAAGACGCTCTTTGAAGGGAGCTATCACTCATCCTCTGCCAATCTCAGGTCATGTAGTAGAGGCCAATTGCATCGAGACACTTTGTGGAAGAGGGAGGAGATACTACTGATGAAAATATTTTTTTTACAACTCCCAACTCTATGTGCAGCTAATCTTACTATCTTACTTTTCTACTGCTGATACGGCTCGTCTTCACTCATGTTTGAGCACCACCAACAAACCTTTCGGTTCTGTCTTTCGCAATCGCCATCCACTGTAGACTCAGGATTGTCAAAGATGGCGATGTGAGAAGTCATTCAGCTGCTTCCGCAGGTGTTTCACGTGATCGACGAGCACATCCCATCTCGCAGCAGGCCTACTCTTAAATTGTGGAGATTCTGCAGGAGCCTGCTCAACTGTTCTTCTTGTCCATCTGTCATCATCTTTTCTCATTATATGACCGGCCCATCGAAATTTTGCATTATTCATGTATTCCACGCAATGTCGAGACATTTCGCAGAGTCTGCGGAGTCCAGCTCGATATTGAGTGAACCGGCTGGGCCGGAAAGGCACTCGCTCGAGCGCTCTGCTGGACCATATTTTTTTAGAGTATGTAGCCTGCTAACCGCGTAACCCTTTGCGGTTATGGTGGCATGGATCCTGAAGGTCAGGGGATGGGAAGGAGGCCAATGAGTTAGTAAGGATAGCATAAAAGTAGTGAGCTGTTTCCGTATTAGCAGAAATAAGAGGTGGTTGCGTAAACTCACTGGTGTTTGAGGGTTGTCATGTATAATTGCATATATGTAATTCCTAAAAGAATCCTACGTTAAGGCTTCGGGAGTGAAAGCGGTGTTCATTGGTATTGGTATGCCGGAACCGAAGANAATAGATTCTTCACCAGCAAAGACTTTTTGCCAATGGTTGCAGCTGCTAGTAAACCGGGTATTATATACCTTTCCTCAAAACCCATTAATTTCATTTCAAAGACGAACTTTCAGGGATGTGCGGATGCTCGAAAAAACCTCTTCCTCTCCTGAAAGGGCGTGTTATTGTACTCGGAGCGGGTAAGTGCGAAGACAGCACACTCAGAAAGGTGTAAAGGTTGTGCTCAGAACGGTGAACTATATTATAGAGGGGAATCATTTGACCATGAACAGCTTGAGGTTGATGATATAATATATTAATAGTATACGGAATGCTTATTGGAAGTAATCAAATGTTGCAATACTGTATCCGGTTAATTATGAAGTCATGAGTTACTCACTTTCAGGAGATACGGCTTTCGACTGTGCTACATCGGCTCTTCGATGTGGTGCTTCTAGAGTAACAGTGGTATTTCGCAAAGGATTTACTGGTATTCGTGCCGTACCTGAAGAGGTGATTGTTAGGCGTTCAAAAAATTAAATTCTTATTTCCAATAAGAACAAATACTGAGAAAATCGGTTTCATCCTCAAATTCAAACCACTGTTTCGAGCTGAGACTGTCCAATTTCGATTATGAAGGATATCGAAATGAACACGACTCGGTGATCTCTTGGAAAGTAGCGCCATACGTGCCTTTCAAAAAATGAGAATCTATTTTTCAATTGACCTGGGTGGCTTACGGAGTTTATATTAGGGGTAACCCTCGGGAAATTGAAGCCTAATTCTTTGACCTCCTTAAAAATAGAGCTGCAAAATTGAACAACGTCAAGAATCCGTTGTACGACTAGATTCTCCATATGGACTATTCACTGGTCTTTGATAAAGTAGATGGCTAGAAAGAAGTAACAATTATCTGAAAAACTGGCATTTCGAACCGCTGCTTTCAGCTGAAATCTTGAAATTATGTCATGAAAGATATCAAAATGATATGGACTCAAGCTTCCCCTGAATATAGTACTGCAAATATCTTTTGAGTACTGGGAACGAAGTTTCCGATGGAATCTGCATGGTTCACGAAGCTGCTTTATCCGCACGTGACACCCTGGGTGCTATGAGGCTCAACTTTCATTATTATGGAAAAGGAAGGCAAAAAATCTAATAAAAATTAAGGCAAAAATCTAAGAAAGTCGTAAACATAATATATTTATGTCAGAACTCTTCACAGGCATAGCTTTCGGCTGATCTTACTTTCGACCTAATCGGAGAACTTTAACAAGTCTTAGGCGGTGCGACGATGATTAATCTGCCGCAAACGGATTGATCCGTCGGAAACCGTCGGTTGAACACGAATTAGTAGCAATATTTGGGCGCATGTGCATCCAAACCGAGATTACATTACTAAAACCATCAATTCGTGACTCCCGTACCTTACTTATTCCACTGCTTATGTGCTTCTGGTAAAGAATAAATACAAAAAGTAGTTTTAATGCGAACGATGCACTGTGTGAAACTTTCATGTTCCATCATAAAAATTTATGAACTCAGAGAAAAAGCTAAGAAAGTAACGATTAGGTGAGCAGGAAGCGAATCTACTCTGAATTAGTTGATATTCTGATGCAGATGGAAGCGGCTCGAGAGGAACGGTGTGAGTTCATGCCTTACTGCTCTCCAAAGGCCGTGAACATGAAGAACGGTCGCATTGAGTCTATACAATTCGTTAAGACTGAGCAGCATCTAGACGGAACATGGTACGTTTGTTTGATTCTCAGCGAACTTGACATATGCAAGCTCTGCTTCTTGGAAATAAAATTACGAAGTAATATTATGGAAAATACGAAGTTATAGTATGGGTACTCTTAGTGTTGCGGCTGCATAGAGCCCTAAACGGCATCCCCGTCGCAAAACAACCAGCCGAATTCGGGTCAATAAAAAGTATTCTGATCACAACAGTCATACTCTTAAAAGAAAACCACGTTCGATATATCGATCTCAAAGTTTATTCAATCATCCAATTAGTAGAACCTGGCCATACACTGCTCCGCATAGATATGCCACCATCCATGAATTGCCTCAAAACCACGTAACTCTTGCAGTTTTTGGAAGAGTCTCCAACTGAGAGTTGTGACGAGTAGTAATCGAAATTTGCATACGACACCGAGTTTCAGATAAGATAAGCTTTATCTTTAAATTCGTTCTCTTGAAAAATTCTCACTGGCCTGTTAGGCACAAAATGCATCCACTCAACAAAACAATAATTTTGAAAATAAGAGATCAACAAAAGCGACAATATACAGATTCAATAATCTAATGGCCCTCCATTTTTTCGGATAGTTTGGGAGATGCTGTCATCCTTGCTTGCGTGAAGATTGTCGATGAGCCTTCGGTAAACGTGGAGCCATGCTTTAATGATATCTTCTTTGAGCTCCTTGACGCTTCGGAATGGGTACTCACTGGCGCACTTCTTTCTCACCTTCAATCCCAGTACGTTTTTCATTGGAATTAAGTCAGGACTCATCGCGTGCCAAGGCAAAAGGGATCTAATGACCTCTAGGCTTCGGCTGACATGTTTCTGGGCGCAATCTTGCACAAAAGTAAGTTTCTAAGTTTGCCACCGATTTTAGTACCGAAAAGGAATGAATGCGTGAGTCGTAGCAACCCATCAGCTGAAGAAATTTTGATTTTCAAGAGAGAAACATTACATCAGTTCGATGTGGTCGCTGCCGAACTATCACGGCGGCTTTCTTGCAGTTGGTGTTGAAAAAAAACGTTTCCTCTTTTGAGATCGTGCCAATAGAATTGGTTCGTCCAGTCATCGGAGTTCATTGAAAAGCACAGCTCAAAGAGGAAAACATTTCGACAACAAGACAGCGAATCTCGAGAAGGTACAGCCATCTTCTCCCAGTCAGATCGAATGTTACTTTTCTGTTTACCTGCTGATTCTCCGTCACGAATGAAGCTTTTCTCATTTCCTGACAAGCGGTGAACTTGGACATTGGTACCACCAGATAAACGGTATCTGTTGAGATATCGACTTCGACGGAAGATTTTATTTCCGCGCATAACTTCGTAGAGCTCGATATTTTCGTAGAATACGTCGCTTATCTCTAATCGAAGGCACTAGAGAAGGCACCCTGTAGGCTTTTTGTCCCATAAACAACAGATTCTCGAGATTCGTCGGTCAGACGACTCTCGCATTTGCTTTCGGAAATCTGACCTGTCCGAACTCTTCCAGTGGTTTCCCTGCAGCCATAAGATATAAATGAACAGATTACATCGAAAGAGCAGTTATACCAAGCGGAAATGCGAGGACGCGAGTAAACATGCTATGTACGTAACTTTTTGTGGGAAAGACCAATGCGACTTTCGAAAAAATGAAAATACAGCACTTCTTCATCTACATTTGAAATTTGGCGTCGTGTGCAAACTTTAATAGATACTTGTCACAACCTTTAATTGGAGACTTTTCAGAAACATCGCGAATCACGTGTTTTTAGGCAATCCGTGGGTGAACGTTAGTTATGCGGAGCAGGGTAAACTGTCGCTCGTGGCATGAAAAATTTGCACCCCCATTTCGATTTTGAGTTACAGTACTCTTTATAGGTATGAAGATGAGGAACAGCAACTGACTCTCAAGGCTGATTACATTATCTCTGCATTCGGCTCGACACTTCATGATCCGGATGGCTAGTTATTTATCATAATGTATAATCACAGACAATATGCGTATATGAATAAGCCGAAGACCAGACAAAAC